CGTTTTGGACATTTGTCTGCCAAGGAAATCCTACGCAGCATCCCAATTTGTAAAGCAGTTGGAAGTCTAAGCTGCTGTAGCCAGGGCAAGCTTCTCGACCTCGCTTGCCTTCACAGCAGCTACAGACCACTTCCCAGCCCAAATGGTGCCAAGCGCCATCTGCACATAGTGCTCCGGTCCCACATGCTATCACATGCTCTTCTAAATTTGGAGCCTTTGCCTAGGGAGCACCTTCTGCCAAACACGCTCTCTCCCAGCCTTTCCCCACCAAACTCAACCAAATCTAAGAGGCCACCTGAAGGCATCTCTCTCGGGAGGCCACCGGGTTCCTTGCAGTTCCCTCCTTTGTTCCCACAGCCTCTCAGAGTATGGGCTGCCAGGAGCTTGACTATGTGCTCATGATCTGTATATTATATGTACTCACTATCTCATCCTTAGACTGTAAGCCTCTTGAGGGGAGGCTTCATTCTTGACTCACTGTCACCTTTCCCACAGGAATTTCTAACCCTGATTGTGGATCCCCCTCTTACTAACTCCTGCCTGGTCACATGGGGCCCAACCCAGCACGTGAGCCTTCTGCTGTGTCCTGGGCAGGGTACTGGAAGGTGTCAAGAGATTCGGCTCTGTTCTGTGACCTTGGGGAAGTTGCTGAATGCCTCTGTGCCTCAACTTTCTCAACTGTTAAATGGAGATCAAAACAGTACATTTCTAGCTGGATGGAATTGAAAAGTTGCATTGAAATGTCTGGTCTCTCCCCAGACTTGACTCAGAGTAAGCTCCAAGTACATGTGAGAAATTGGAGGACCATCAGTGATGTAATGGAGTGATTAATTGTCAAGTGACATTTTTGGATCCCTGGGGTGGGCTCTATGGCAGGGACTACTGAGGTTCTCATGTAACTTGCTTCTCTCTCTTCCAGAGGACCCTGCAGGGCTGCATTTCCCCCATTTCCTCAACACTGGATGTGTTCGATTGACTCAGTTCTGCCAGTGGTCTGTAAGCAGAGCACCACCTCCAGGCTGCCCCAGAAAATCCTCCTTCACATGGCCTTCCATTCTCTCTCCCTCCATCTGCTGGCTAAAAGCAGAGGACCATGCTTAGAGGAGGAAAGAGCCACAACATGGAAGGGGTATGGATTTTTAATTGGCCATGTGAAAGGGTGCATGTCATTCAGGAACACTTGGCTAGACTTCATATGAGTGAGAAAAAGATATTTAATGTGGTAGTCTACGAAATGTGGGAGGTGACCCTTTCTGGCGGCTAAAGATTTTTTCACTACCTTGGGAAATTGCATTCACTGTTACAGAAGATTCATTCCTCCTTAAGTTTCTGGGCACTGAATCCTCTGTGGCTGCTGCGCAGCTGCTCTTTGGGGGTTGAGGGTATCCGGCACCCAGGAAGACTCACTTGAAGAAGCCAAGTATTCCTAACCGGTACTGGGTGGTCACAATCAGCACATCTTCATACGCAGCCAAGGCAGACCCATCGAAAATGGAGGCTGAGCCCGTCTCAAAACCACCCCCAGGAAACCACACCATGACCTAAGAAAGAAAGAGAAATTCTCCAGTCAGCCTGCCAGATACCCACATCCTCTCCCCACGCACGCTGGGACCCTCACTCCTTCAGGGAGATGTAACAGTCCCATTTTTCTTTCCGAGTAGAGTCATAGGTCATGTGCAGATGCTGATGTCCAAATGCCTGGACTTGAGACTCAGCCCATCTACTAACGAGCAATGTCACCTTAGATAGACTCCTTCACCGCTCTGAGACTTGTTTGCTCATTTATAAGATGTAGAAAATGAAAGTATTTATCTCATGAGATGATTATGAAATTTGAATAAACTTCTCCATCTAAGGCTCAGGGTCAGCATATTTCAAGTGCACAATAAGCCTAGGATCCAGGAGAAGATAGAAATAATTGTAAGTCACATCTGAGAGCAAGTGGAGCTTGGAGGTTTTAACTAGAGGGTTTGGGGTTTTTTTTCTCCTCACCTAGAGTCAGAAAAAAAAAGAAAGAGAGATAAGTGTAGAAACTTTGCTATATTGCTTAGAAAAAGTAGGACCAGGGTACATATAACATTATCAAATAGTATGAAACTCAAAGCCAAACCTGTTGTCACTAAATCTATTCTGACTTGTAACAACCCTTTAGGACAGAGTAGAGTTACCCCGTCACATTTTCAAAGCTGGGCCTTTCTACTTCCACAAAGAGTTACTGTTACCCTCTCAGAAACCCACAGGGGAAGCTCTATCCTGTCCTATAAGGTCGCTATGAGTCAGCATTGATTCGATGGCAGTGAGTTTATTTGAGTTTTGAATTTTTATCCAAGTTGACTGCTACATCTGTCTCCGGCTGAGTGGCCGGGGGAGTTGAACCACTGACTTTTTTGGTTAGAAACCAAACACTTTCACTACTTCCCTGTGTTATTTACATAATCTGTCATCAATTTGAGACTTAAGAGTGAAGGGGTGGAGTTTAGCCTGTCAATCAGGTCGCAGCTTGATGACCTCATTTGGAGGCACTAAGGCGATAAATAGCTCGCTGGATGCGGGACACACACTCACTCCCTATGAGACATTCTTGCAGACAAGATATATGAAGCTATGGTAGAGCCCTAGAGCTGGCAGAGCCACATGGAGACCCCTGCCAGCACTGAGATGCTTCCCCTGCCACTAGATCCACAAGACTTTCCACCCAGTGGCCTGTGATTTTCCTGTATTTGGGGTCATTGCATGTATTGCATGAGTCTGAAGAGGTATTTATAGATGGTATCAGACATGAGGGCTAATATCAGACTTAGGGACTTGATCTGGACTGGGCTGGGATGTTTTCTGATGTTCAATAGCTCTTGTATGTAAAGCTCTTTCTTATATACATATGAGTCTCCCTGGATTTGTTTCTCTAGTCCACCCGGACTAACACATGCCCCACCGGGGTGCCTTCAAATAGTGTTAGCACAATTTATATGCCTAATTACAAATTCTTTTAGCTTTAGTTTAGTTTAGTTTGTTCTTCGAAGGCCATACCAAAGACTACAATGCGTGGGAGAAGAAAAGAGAAGAAACCACCAAGGAAAACGGGATGCTTGGCTAAGCACTGACTACCGGGATCTACCACTGACTATGGGTACAAGCTGGAGCAAATCGCTGCTTACACTGTCCCTGGACCTCATCTTCCTTATCTGTAAAATGGGCCCACTAATCCTTACTCCACAGGGTTGTATGAGATAACACACTGTGTCTGGCACATAGTCAATGCTCAATCGAGGTGACTGTGATGGTCTATTGCAGTGTGTCTCCCATTGCCAGAACACAGGGGAAGAACAGGATGGGAGGGCTTGTTCCAGAACACATCCCACATCCCAAAGTGGATCCTCCACTGTCCCTTTTACACAGATTGAATTGTTAAATTCAATGTTTAACACAATTGCCATCTAACCTAGTGTGTTAGTCTGGGTGCTTTAGAGAAACAAATCCACAGAAACTCATGTATAAGAGAGAGTTTTATATAAAGGTTAAGTTTATATAAACTTAATAGAAGTTTATAAACATCAAGAAAACATCCCAACCCAGTGCTGCCCAAGCCCATAAGTCCGACATTAGCCCATATCTCCCACACCAATCTACAAAGTCCTCCTCCATCTCACAAAACACACACAGGAGGAAAGCTGAATCAGTGAACGTGTAAGCATCTCAGTGCTGGCAGGGGTCTCCACATGGCTGTTTCAGCACCCAGGGCTGCATCGGGGTAGGTCCATGGGGCTTCTCCTTGGGGATGTCTTGCAGGAAGTGAACCTTGCCAGCTGAAGCAGAACACTGGCTAAGGAAGCTGCACCCTGGTCCGACCATCACAAAGCAAGAGACCGAGAACTCAAAAGGCGAGGCTCACCAAGCCATTTATCTCTCCGCCCTTCAATTAACCCCACATGTGTTTATCAGCCAGGTTGGCTCAATAAACTAACTATATCATCTAGAAAAAGAAAAAGTGAAGGATGCCATTATCCCATTTCTTTTGAAAAGAAAAAAATCCAGAAGAGTTCTTTAAAGCAATGGTTTTTCTAAAAGTTTAGACATCCTTAAATACTCAACAAAGGGGAAAGCAAATTGAAAGCAAACCAAGGTCAAGGCGCTACAATCAAGACCAGCGGAGAAGAAGAAAACTCCTGTTTGATATTATGATGAGGAGTTTTTTTAGAGTAATTGATGCACCTAGCGATTGCATTTCCATTTTACCCAACAAGGAGTTCGATCCTATTTCTAACTCCCAGTCACCCTACCTGGATCCCAGGTCAAGATTCTGGCAGCCAGAGCCCCAGCGCCCCAGCATCCCAGGTGGCCTTACGGGGAGATGGGAGCCAGGAAGAGCGTGAGCCGGCGTGTAGATGTTGAGGTACAGGCAGTCTTCCGACACTGTGAGGTGGGGATACTGCACTTTCAGCAAGAGCTGATTTGTGATCAGCCACTGCGTGTCTTGGAGGCACCTTGGAGAAGGAGAGGAGAAAGTGCTGGAGTTGTTGTCAGTGAAGCTCCCTGGGAGAGGCTGATTCTCTAAACAGTGGAGAAATCTAGCAGTCTCCCCCACCTTGAGCAGATGAGGCATATCAAGAGTAATATCACAAATTCAATCATATTGAATCAACAAAGACTAACCCCGATGGTGCCCTTTGATGTGATTCCTGGGAAGGAAATCACAAGGTGCTAAGTTAAGTGCCATGGATCCCTGTGACTTCACCAAGTGACACCCTCCATTGTATATCGGCAACACAGAAACACTCAAGCGGGCTCAACTCTTGCCCAAACGGGAGAGGGAAGGATCCTGGGTTGAAGATCAAGGACTTGGCCCCTAGGACCCCTCTTCTGTCTCCACTGGAGCAAAGGGACATTTCAAGTCTCTCTACCAGGAACTGAGCCCGACCTCCAGGCATCGAGGCCTCTGCTTAAGCTATTCCCTCTGCTTCGCCCCCCTATCTGCTTGCTCATGATCTTCCCTTTCCTTCACATCTGGTGCTATTTCCTCCAAGAAGCCCTCTGAGATTAGAGCATAGCTGTTCTTTGGAGACACACATGTGTTTTGTTTGTCTCCTATGCTTGTACAGGAGTGCTATCAGCCTCCCAACCTAACGACAAGCTGTTAAAACTCCAGGGTTTGCCTCTGTACCCCTTATCTTTTAACGCAGAGCTGGAAGCAAGGCAAGATTAAATGAGATAATACATGTGAGTATTTCTATCATACTAAATGCTCAATTAGGCTTAGAATTTCCTTCTTCTCTTTAGTAGGATAGTCCGCAGCATGAGCAGCAGGTAAACATCACTGTAAATCTACTCTTCCCTGTTTAAGACTCCTGCCCCCTTGTCTTCCTATATCCGAAACGGAAGTCAGGAAGCCAGCTCTTATAGCTAGATGGTTCTCGCTGACCCAGTACCCTACTCTGATCCTCTAAGCGTTGCCTTTGTCACCTTATATTTTCATTGTCCATTATCTCTGATGCCCTCCCCATCACTAAACTGCAAACTCCTTGAGGACAATACAGATGAATTCACGGTGGTGGCCCCCAGGGCCTGATAGAGAACCAAATGTTGAATTGATGTTCAATCAATATTAAATGAATAAATAAATGAATCGAATAAACAAATGAGTTTCAAGTTAGTGCACTCAGTCCCTGGGCATCGTTTTTGATGGTGTAGAGCAGTGGTTCTCAACCTTCCTCATGCTGCGACCCTTTCATACCATTCCTCATGTGGTGGGGACCCCCAACCATAAAATTATTTTCTTTGCTACTTCATAACTGTAATTTTGCTGCTGTTATGAATCGTCATGTAAATATCTGATATGCAGGAT